ATGTATACAGCTGGTTTCCAGTTGGTGCCCGTCTTGTCCAAGTTCTCCTCCCCTCCCGGTTCCCACAGCATCCCCTTGTACACACACACGTGCCAGTCCCCCTCAGCGGGCTGCCTGCTTCGCTTTCTCGTGTTTGCTGGACAGCATCATCTTTTACGCAGGTAGCTTGAGCCCGTGATTAGGGGAAACCTCCCAGGTAGAACAGCTTGGCGAGAATGTGAAATACCGTGTTGCTTCACCCGTGCTGACACTTCCGCTCTGGAATGGTGCTGCAGCACCTCAGTGTATATATGGGGTTTTTTTGGTATCTGCTTCCAGGAAGAGGAAGAAAGGAGGTCTGTTGCTAGAGCCAGATGAGAAAGAGGAAGAAAAAACTCAGCCGAATGAAGAGGAGGAGGAAGAGGAAGTGGATAATGTAGAACAGGTGGAAAGAAACAGAGAAGAAGAAGAAAAAAAGAAAGAGGATGCTCTTTGGGCCAGCTTTCTTAGCGATGTGGGACAGAAACCCAAAGCAGTGGCTGCCACGCAAATGACGCAAGCAAAGAAGGTAACGGGGGCCTGGGCTCTCGCCCAGGGTGTGTGGAAGGACCTGAATCTTAGGACCACGTGGCATTGGTTTTGGTTGGGATCACATGTCAGTCAGAGATGGGAAGAGGCTGGGTTTACCCCTGCCCCATATGTTTTGTAAGCCTGGAGCCCCATCATGGGGCAAACTGTGAGCTGCTGGTTTCCTTCCACCTGGGGAGATCTGTGGTCTGGTGGTGCTGCTTTTGGAGCTGCTTGTGAGCATCTCAGAGTGTCCCACAGAGCCCCGTTGGCTTCTCTTTCTGGTCCTGGATTCTTGTGACATAGGAACAGCACAGAGTGAGGTTGGTCCGAGTTGTGCTTGTGGGCACAGCTCTCCCCCGAGGCTTGTGCCTTTCCTGCTGCTCAAAACAAAAACAAGGGAGAGACTGTGTGTGTGTGAGTGGGGAAACAGAAGGGACCTGTGCTGACCAGCTGAAGTGGTTACAGGTGGAATATAGACAGAAGGAGAGAGGAAAAGTTGTCTTCTGAGCAACTCTGCTTGAAGATCTCTGTGGCGTGTGGTTGATTTTAGAGCAAGAATTTTGGTTTATTTGATTATATATAGGGTCTGAGGTTTTCTATGTGTCACGTTAAAAGCTGTAGTTGTGACTGAGTAAGTTAAGAGGCGTTGTTGACAAATTGCTTAATAAAGATACTTCTCTCTCAAAGAGATGTCGTTGACAAGTAGCTTAATGCCTTCAGGATTCCC